ACACACACACACACACACACACACTTGTGAAATAGCTCAGTCACCTGTGGAAACAAATACTGCCTCCTAGCCCCTGATCCCTCTGTTGATCTAACAAAATGGTGCTGGCCTCCAGGGCTGTTAAGAGCCTAATGCCTCTACTGAGGTAAACAGACACACTCCAAAGCAGCATATACCCACCTCTCCCCACCCGCATCCATGGCTTCCTGCTGACAGCAGCATCCAGCAGGAAGCCAAGGAGCTTACTGCACCCCCAGGCCAGCTGTTCAGGGTCCCTGCAAACATACACAACAAGGTGGCCATCATAGAGGGCATTCCAATTTTCTACTACTCTGTCCTCTATTGATACAAAACCCAATGCCTTTATGTCCTCTATTTTTCTCTTGATGAGAAAAATAGAGCACATAAAAGGCGTCCAGTGTCATATCAAGAGGGCAGAGGACAACTGGACTGTCCGCTATGATGGCCACCCTAATATACAGCCAGCACATTAGTGACTCTCCACCCCCTTCTACATGTTACAGGTATCACACAATTAACTGGTTAATTGCACAATTACCTTGAAAACAGCTAGACATGCAAAGAATTTATCACACCATGAAAAGGTCCAATCAGCTATGAAGTTAGACCTCAAAAATGTGTATTAACTTTACAGTTGGTTGGTATCCAACTTTAATTTGCTGAAACAGAGCATTGAAAGATGTAGCAGTCTCCCTTGCAGCTGACAGCCCTGTCAGATGAGAGGGCTTCCAGCCACAAGGGTGCACCATGCTCAGCTGAGGCTGGGAGTCCTGCAACAAAGTGAACCCAGCCCCAGCAGCTGAGGATGTCCCAGCAGCTGCAGAGCACAGCTGTGATCTCCCACTTCTAGGGGTGCATGAAGCTCCCAGGGCTGGGAAATTGCAGCAGCCACAATCTCCCAGTCATCAGGGTTCAGCGATTGCTTCACAGCTGAGGGGGCTCCAAGCCACAGAAGCTTGCTTCTTGCTAGCGCAGGGGGGAACCCAGGATCAGGCACCCCATGCACTGGCAATAAGTCCTGATGAGATCTACTGCATGATCCCACAATCACATCTCCTGCCATGCACATGTAGCATGGCAGGAGGCACAATTTTGTGGATCATGCATTAGATCCCATCGTGCCTTTACCTGAAGGTATAGAAGGGGCCTCCATTAATTCAGGTCTCAAGAGAACATGAGGAGTTATCTCCTCCACATGAATGCAGTGAGTAGGGACCAAGATGCTCCTTGACCTGCTACTTCCCCCAGTACAGCTCCAAAACACAGGGCATGATTCTGTCCATCAGGAATTACACTGCTAAAACAAACACTGCCTCTGCTCCTAACTCCCATGTTTTAACATTATGCCTGCAAGAGCAGGGCAACCTTCAGACATCTTCTTCAACACTCCATCTTGAAAGTTCAGCATTGATAGGGGAAGGATGAGGTGGAAAAGGGGAGAGTCTAATATCCCAAACCCATGCCAGTGGGTCAAATCTCAGTCAGTTTCTTCAGGGAGTTCCTCCGTGTTGCCAATTTACTGACTTCACTTAAGTTATACCTGATTAACACCAACATAAGGGAGTAATAAATTGGATCCTGATGCCCTGCAGTGGCTTTGGACCAAGACTTCAGTGCTCCGTCTCTCACTTTCCCAGGCATAATGGGTGGATAACTAGTCCCAAGCTCGCTCCAGGCAGGGCAGCAAGGAGTCACTCACGACAGTGTGAATAGCGCAGGTTGCAACAACTGGAATTGGTAGGGAAACAGCCAGGTTCACAGCCAGGACAGCAAGGCTCCAGGAATACCCTGCACTGGATGAGCAGGTAAGCATATCAGCTCACCAGAAAAGCAGGGGGACTGCGGGTAGGAGTTGAGAGGCAGGCTGAGGAAAATAGGAGCTCTGAAATTGTACAGATTATTTCTGCATTTATTCTGTTCTTCTGCAGGAAACCAGCCCCTGGTCCCTACACCCAGCTGGGCAATTGGTAGGCTTCATGCTCCCTCGTCCCTCTGTCTCTCCCTCTTCCCAGGGAAAGCAGCTCTTCCCCATCCTCCCTAGGGTTCAATGGGCTCCTCATCCTTCTCAACCCTTCGCACCCCAATTCCCAGTCAGGCACATCATACTTCTTAGCCATGGCCAGCTCCTTCTTCTTGAGTATGACCCCAAAAGCCTCACTCCCACCCTCAATTCTGGCCAGAGGCTAATGGCCCCTTACTTTATTTGTCACTACTAGAGACAAGCTCAGACTGGTCCTCCACTGCTGGCTGTTTCATGTCTTTTCCTAAAAGAGGAAGTTACTGGTGTAAGTTTCAGGACTACAAAACTCATCTCATTAATAAAGGCTCATGCCCAGCCTGTTTGCTGGAGATTATGAACCTGTGTTAACAGACCTATCTACTTCTGCCAGGTGGTTTTCAGTCCCCAACACCACTGCAGATTCACTTAGACCTTCCCTGAACAACTTGACCGGAATTATGCAGCTGAAAGCAACTCTTGGTACATCCCCATTTTACACTTTTCATGCCACACAGTCTCCACAAAACACCAACTCACCCTGTCTAAAGCTGCTGATGTGCAGCTGCCCTTGGAACAACAATGTAACCACAATCAGCTCAGAAAGAGGAAGCAGAAGGCAAGATGCTGATGCTGGCTTATGGATGACTTCCTCTATTTCAAGAGCCCTGCAATTGGCTAGAAATGGGTTCTCTTTTACAATACTATTGTGAAAAGAGAATCTTATGGGTCCCAGACTGATCTCTCAGTGACCAGACAGAGCATTTTTCCATTCACACTGGTATGTTCTCTACAATCATCAGTCCTGCAAACACAGGTCCAAAGCAAGGTTCATTTCACTTCATGTGCACTCAATAGCAGGAGGTAATGCAGGTACCAGAAGACCCTCCTACTAGCACACTCCCCATCTAGTCCCATTATTTTTAATGGTTTAACTGGGGGGGTGAGCAAGAGCAAGTTAGGCCTTGTCTGTAAACAAACCTGCACTGGTTTTAATTAAATCAGTTTAGTTTAACTGGAGCACATTTGGTTTATTGGTACTTTATTTTAATTTAGTTTACAACCAGTTCCCATAGCCTTTTCTTCAACTCAGGGCTTGATTTTAATTTAGCTTATAACCTGTTTCCATAGGCCCTTCTTCCACTAAGGGCTTGTCTAGCCAGGGCAAACTAACTGAAATAAGCTTGGGTGTGAATTTCAACTGCAATAGCTATTCTGCACTAATTTTCTTGGTACAGTTTAGCTCACTCCACTTCCATGTCATTCCAACCTGTGAAATTCTCAATGGCTGGCCAAGCTAAAGGCTGGAGCAATGCCTGGCTGCTGACAGCTCTGTGAACTGCTGATTTCTGAATTTCAGACTGCATCCCTTCTCTCTGCATTCCCATTGATTTTTATTTATAATATGTTTGCACAGTTCTCCAGACTCAGTTGATTCATTCCTCTGTATATCTGGCCACTAAGTCATGGCTTTGTTGTTTTAACTGCAGTGATTTTTACATAAATGTCTTGGTTAATGTTTTAAAGAATATCCCCAACCCCAAAGAATAGTAGAAGCACTTGAGATAAACCTAGTGCAGTGCAAGCATGCTTGCCATACTCAAAAAAATGATAAGACACTCATAAAACACAGCCCTGTGTAACACAGATGCAAGCTGTGAAAAGCTACACTCGGCATGAAATGATTTAGCCCCTATCCTCAGACAACTCAAGTGTCATACCCCTACTAACTTTCATTTTGAAAGGGATGGCTCACTGGCTGCTCCTGGCATCCTCAAAGTCTTTGAAGCCTTCTCTGTCACTCAAGGTGACGCTCTCTTCTCTGTTCTCACACAAAGTGAGCACACAGCTGGTAGTCATAATTCATGGTAGCTATTCCTCTAGCCTTGTCAGCGATTGCTATCTCCCTGTCCATCACCACTGTGCTCCTGCAGCTGTTTAGGTAAGCATGAGAGTTCTTTCCAGTGGTCCAGATGTCCTGCAAAACCTTTGTCTGCTATAGTGGGAGAAGATGAACAGGGTGCAACCAAGGGAGATGCCATTGATACCAAGAGACCTACAGCTATGGCTGCAAGTCTACGTTGTTCCTTAAATGAAAGGGGTGAAAGTTCCTACCAACTCCAGGATCACAAACATTTCTGCACTACTCCACATGAACACTGGTAAGCCTGCCAAGATGGGCAACCAGGCCTTGGAGCACAGCAGAGATATACCCCATCTTATTCATGAATTCATGGGAGGCAGGTTTTAAGAATACAGATTCCATCCATTCCCCAACACTTCTGGGGGATCCCCCCAACACTCCACACAAAGTTATCAATAAATTCTTGAGGGTAACAGGCCTCATGACACATGACTTCTGTAGCTTTTGGATAGTGAAGCACACCTCTGTCACACTATGGCCAAATGCTGGTAAAATGGGGGGCTCATATACTGGTGAGCTGATACTATTTCCCTGGGGTTCTGAAATAGCTGCCAGCCATTCCAAGCCCACAGCACAATCCTCTCCAACTGGGTGATGTCCATTTCACAAGCCTAGCCATGGTGCTACACTAAGTGAAGCTGATTCAAGAGAAGGTCTTCCAGAAGCAGCCAGCCTGTAGCTGACTCCTCCTCATTGTCCTCCTGGTACAGCTGCTGCAGCCAAAACCACAGCAAACGCTGCTCAAGAGGACAGTAGCTGGCTTGAAAACAGCCCAGTCCAGCAGCAATACATCAAAACACATCAGCATAAGCTGCTTGATTATGCGTATGCAGAATGGCCAGCACTGTTTCACCTTGGATAAGTGGGTAACAGTTTGAAAAGGGCACTAGCTGGCCCAAAATGAGATGCATCTTGGGAGGATGGGAGAAAGAGGGACCATGAGATAATTAGCATTTGAGCTAATGACCCCATAATTGCAGTTGATTCTACATATTTTCCAGCAGGCATCTCAGAATGCAGGAGCACAAAGGAGCATGGGATACCAGTCTACCATGCTGAGTGCCTACTGTGAAGGATGTTCATTCCCACTGTGCAGAAGCAGTAACTTGGAGTAAAATAAGAATCATCTGTCTGTGTGTGGATACACCCACTCTGTACTGCGCTCTAGGAAGAAGTTACCCAGCTGCATTTCACTAAAAGGCAAAGTGCCCCAACAAAATACAAACACTTCTATATTAGTCAGTCAGTTTAGGAGCAGTAACTAATGTGCCAAAGGAGAAGATCTTCCAGATATGAAGGTACAAGTTTTTATAGACTTTTTCAGAGTACAGCCCCACAAAGGGTGATTTTTAAGGTTTCCTAGTAAAGAGTCTTGCTACATGCATTTCCCTCCCACACCCAGCACTCAACCACTTGACTTGGCTCCATTCATAGCATCACTAAATGCTAGAGGGGACAGTTGTATGTGTTGTGTGCCAAGTCATTTCATCCTCCTAATTACTAAACCAGAAAGGTCTGGAGCAGTCACTGCCAAGCCATTGTCAGTGGTAGTCATGCTGGTAGTCCAAACATCCATGGAAAGGGGTCTACAGACCCCACCACCTCCCCTTTTTCAGTTAAACATTTGATAGTGATGGCACATCGTAGACCACATGAAATGTTGAAGGTTGGCAGTGATCTGTTTCTGAAGAGACTGGCAAGACAGAAACAAGAGGTGGCGAGTCAAATCTCAGTCTCTTTCTTTCCAAATGCCAATTCGGGGGCATGGCTCTCACTGTTTTTCCTGACGTGGGTTCCTTTCATGCCTTGGGGTAGTCCTTACTTGGGTGCAATCAAAATAATCAGTCATGGCCCATGATCATTGCACTGGTATAGGAAAAATTACACGAGATTAAGCAACAGACATCCAGAACAACATCATGATGAACAAAGCCTGAGAATTTGGGCTGCCATAATATCTTCACTTGAAAGATGAAATATGGTAATAAAAATTGATTTAAGGTTATTTAGGCTGATTTTAAACAGTATTTTGGCTTGTGATGGAGCTGAAGGACTATCTGAAATGAAATCCCACTAATTCTCTCTGCTTAGCAAGGTTATTTTCTGCTTCTCTCCAGGAATACAGAATCTAAATGATCTGATGTTTAACAGGAAGAGCTATTACAGTAGAACTCAGGCACTTTGCTGAGTTAGGTTCCCGAATCCCCTGCAAAGGGGAGCATTTATGAACCTGCTGTGTATATACAGAGCCACAACAAACAGCTGTGCAGGTCTGCTGAAGGGGCTCTAGCTATTTACTGCAGCTTTTAGGCCAAAGGGCACCACTTCACTCAGCTGGAGCGCAGCTGATCAGAAGAAAAGCAACATCCTTTGAAGTAAAACCCACAAACAGCCAAGTAGCTTGCTTTTAATTCGGCATCCTGCTGTGAATTAAATGGGTTGTAAACTACCCAGACACTGGATGACCCAGGTTCTACTGGACCTTAAACCTTAAATTACCAAAGCATTTCAATATCCTGTCAAAATTATCATAAAGAAACAGATTAATGCTAATCCCTTGACCGTGCTTTTGCAAAATCCATGTCACCCAGGAGGCAGAAGTTTTAGGGGGCTGCTCCTACCATACTACCATAACAGTGTTCAGCTGTACAGTTTCCTCTCAATGCCTGCCATATTGTGGTTTCTTCTGTCTTCTCAGCTGCCAGCTGTGGTTTGGTTGGAGAGACATCATCTAGGACAAGCAGATCTGAAAGGAATGGGCTGTATGAACTGATGCTGTTGAAACAGAGATGTGAACACTCCTCTGCACTCCTGGTCTGCTCAGTTGGGAGAGCGCCTCATTCTTCCTGTGAGATCTTGCTGATAAAAGGACCCACTTCTTTCAGGGCTTGGCTGAATTCTGAAATGAGCTGTCAGTCTCCTTTCATTGGCTCAACCTTTAATGGCCATGACCTAAGTAACATCATCAGTTCATGCCAGGCAATCATGACATGTAGATGCAGCAGGGTTGTAACTGCCTTTGTTTTCAGGACAGACAATTCTAAGATCACCCTTAATGATTAGGAGTTTTAAGTCTCCTCTACTTAGTTGTTTCTCAGATAACCCTTTAGATCCACCAGCAGCCAAAATTCTGTTTCAAATGAGTCCAAACATCCTTATGTCATATAGATGTCACACACACATATCTTTTGGCTCTTTAAATGGCCTTTTAAAAAAACTTAACTATTCTTAAAGAATGTATGTAAATAGTTATTCAAGATAGCATTGTTTCTTCTTTATAATTCATTAAGGGACAATTCTTGGAAAGATGACTCAGTCTTAAAGGTTGGAAAAGCATTACTTAGGTATTACCTGATGCATATTTAAATTCCCCATTTAATAATGATATTCCATATTCAAATAGCTTATCTTTGTAATCAGCTTTAGCATAAACAGACCTGTAAGCATTTTAACATTTACACAGCAGTGGCGTTAGGAAGTTATTACATTAGATGCTCACAGTAAGATATAAAATGCTTGCAAATGATCTTGACAAAAAAAGGCAATTTTAAGAAAAATGTTTTCACCTTTGATGGAAACAGGAATTTCACACTGCAAAAGGATTTTACAAAACAAATCCCTCCCCTGGATGTTCTCCTTAGCCTCTGAAGAATGGAGATTTCAGAGAGTTTTTTTATAAAAGGAATTAAGTTTAAAATTTCTCCTTTATGCAACTTTTAAACCAAAGCTCTTTCCTTGCAAAGGAGTATACAAAAGCCCACAGTATGATACAGTTTAATGGCATGGGCACTGATCATAACCTCTTTCATAAATATCTCGTATAGAGCATCCTTACCCTTTTAAGTCAAGACTCTTTCTAAACAAAAACTGTACTGCTGAAATCTTCTCTATGATCAACTGTCTTTGATAAGATATTCCTGTCAGCTTTGTGTTCCTTTTTTGACCCAAAGGGTGCATCCAGACAAGCGTGCATGTGTGGTTTGCTGCACCACAAACAGCACGCGGTAAGTGTGCAACTGTGTGCCACACTGCAAATTTGCCCTGCGGTGCCAAAATTTGATACCAGGATGTCCCAATATAAAAAAAAACAACCAAAAACAAAAACGCTGTGGTGCACAAGGCAGCAGCATAAACTACCAGAAACTGAACCTAGCCACCCATAACCATGCTCTGGCTGACAACCAGGTTCCATGCAACCAGATCAACACAGCTGCTGCCTTGGGAGGCCCCCAGGACCTCAAGTAAGGCTGCAGGGGCCAGCACAGGTTCTGGCTCCAGCCTCCCCTACCGCACCTGGGATAATTTGGTGTGTGCTGGAGCGCACATGCAAGGGTGTGCCCTGGAGCACAAAGCAGAGGCACAAATGTGCACCATTGCTTTTTGTGCCCCTGGAAATGCATGCCTTTGCATGTGGGGATGCACCCTAGGGTCCTTAGAGTTAAGGCCTAGGAGTAGAGGCAGTCTTTGTGCTGACATAACAGGCATCACAGAGCACTCTTATGGGACCTTTGTGGCAAATGTTTTTTACATGGCTGCCTGCAATGGCAGGAGGCTGGACTCAATGGCCCAGGAGGTCACTTCCAGTCCCATGTTCCCACCAGTATTCAGATGTGTCAATGCACCTCTTGGGGAAATGGAGTATCCAGAGGAAACACCACCCTTCTGCTATGCTACCTCCGTTTAGTACTGCCAGCTTGTGTTACTGAGGGAGCTTTGGGATCCTCCCTTCACCTATACCCAGATTGGAATTTGGGGGCTGTAACAGGGACCTTTTAGCTCCCTGTTACAAAGATGGGATAATGCTGCTGAGAAGCTTCTTTCCACCCCTCTCAGCCCCCATAAGACGCAGTAGAAATAAGTGCTGAGGACTGCAAACACAGACAGCATTCAATAGGAGCCAGTGACTCATTAGATCTAAGGGCACACACCAGGGACAGGAAAAGATGACTCACCCAAGAGAAGGCGGCACCCTGCAGACAGGGAAAAAAAAAAGGAAACCACCTAAAGCAGCAATGGGCTGGAAATGCAGCGGCCTGGACAGAGAGAGACAGCACACAGAAAGCCATGTAGGGAGAGCTCTGAGATGGACAGCTGGCTTCCCCAAGAAGTTGGAAGGCTGGACTTAAAGCAACAGCGTTTGGTTTCAGCTCTTAGAGAATGACACAATTGCCTTGGTTAGGGTTACCATCC